CTCGGCGAGTAGCATGAAGGTGTGGAGCAACTCGACGAGTGGGATGAACAACTCGTCGAGTCAGATGAAGATTGCCTTGTACTCGGCGAGTCTGATCTTGGACTCGGCGAGTCAGGTTGCGAAACCCCAAACCCTTCAAGTTGAGACTTGAATCAGTGAGTTGGATAGGTCAGGACTCAAAAATCGGTAGACTCGGCGAGTCATGGACTGACTCGACGAGTCGAGACGCGAATGGAAGGAATCTGAACATTTTGAACTCGACGAGTCAGTAGGGTGACTCGGCGAGTAGGGTTGACCTGGAAGGTTGACTTTGACCAGGGTTGACTTGGTTGTCTTTCGGGGGTCAGTTAGACTCAGTATTGCATTGATATTAGTAGTTCGGGGAGCAAGGGGAGCAGGAGTTCAGTGAGTTGTCGGGCAGCAGCTAGTGAGATCATCAACAAGTTCAGCCAGTGCAGGTGAGTTTCCCTTTGTGTGAATGGGTCTAAGGCCACAATGCCGGCCCATGTAGTTATGAGTAGAAGACCCGGGGGTTAGCCTTAGGCACAGTATGCTAGTATGATATTCAGGACGAGGTTCAGTAATAGCGGGCGGGTGCCCAAGGATTTGTTTATGTGGTAGATTATACTTGTTGTCTGTGTGATACATGTATGTGCCTGGTAGGGAGGTGAGTGTGGGCGAGGTCCCGTATCTCACCAATAGCAAAGTGTGGATGGGGTTCCATATCTCATTAGTAGCAGAACAGGGGCGAGGCCCAAACTAGAACATAAGTGAGATTGGGTCGGGCCTGTATCTCACTACCATTAGGGGCGTGGACGAGGTTCCATGACTCATCAGTAGTAGGACATGGGCGAGGCCCAGGATAGGCGAGGCCTTAGGACAGAACTAGATGCATGTGTCTAGTTATGTGTTGTGATATGTTTATGTGTTATTATTTGTTGGCGGGCGAGGCCTAAGTAAGACAGATCTGTATCCGAGCGGGGCTCGAAGCCAGGCGGGGCCTGGAGCGGCGGGGCCATTGTAGCGGGCAAGGCCCGAGGTAGGGGGCGAGGCCCAAGATAGCGGGCATGGCCCAGTATGTACAGTATGTGGTTATGCATGGTATGTGGTAGGGTGGGGAACTCACTAAGCTTCGTGCTTACGGTTTTCAGTTTTGGTTTCAGGTACTTCCGGTAGCGGAGGGAAGAGCTCGGGGTGATCGCATGACACACACCATGGATTAGACAATCTGGGAATGTTTACTCTGATAATGAACATGTGTTTTGAAAAATTATACTCATATTATGTTTTGGAATGATGACTTTGCTTTAAGTAATGTTTTATTAAAAGAAATTTTTGGTCTTAAATTTTGGGTCGTTACAGTACCTGAGACCGGGTGTTACACTTCAAGTCCCAAATATGTATCTCACGTTTAAGAATACAAAGATACAACCTTGATCAAAACATCACTCTTGACTACGATCCATAAAATGGTTTTGATGCGGGTCAAGTCCAATACTTATTCTCCTAATCAAGTATCTATGAAGTTGGTTGTAGCTCTTACTATTCTCATTTACAGGTGAATCCACCAATCCACTCATATTAGTCTTACCTCATAGATGCTCTCATAATTATGAACGATTATGGACATTTAGAATAACCTAGTAATTTAAGGATTTAAACATGCTAGCATAGAACACAACAATTATTCAATGAAAGACTCATATCCAATATATCAATTCATTTCAATATATGTTGTGTGTACTGTTCCAATATCCAAATACTAAATTTCAATCAAATACATCTACTTATATCAACAATGCCCTATAGCACCAGCTTGACTTTCATGCTTTAGCTAATGAAGCAACTTTGTTAAGTAGATTTGACAAACTTGATTTGTATAAACTTTGCGAATACAATCATTTTCAGTTTTATACATAACTTAGGTATAAAGAAAAACTATTAAGAATGAATTAGATGCTTAAATATGACTTAGATACCAATACTTGCGTAATGGGATTACTTATAGTCATAATAAACTATACCTTAACGATTTTTGTACGTGGTTCTCCAAACCACAATGCATTCTAACTCTGATTTGTAACTGTAAATAAAATTTACATGGAAATACTATCCATGTATCTTGCTCTTCATTCATAATGAAGACACCCCCGATTGAGATTAAGAATCATCTCAATCTATTTGAAAATTTATCACATGTGTAACAACTTTAAACATAACTTTCTTTCAAATACTATGTAGACTAGGAATATTTCTCTATTTCTTGCAAGTACTTTAGAATATTACTATAAGTCACACAATGACTTGTTGTCGGATTATACTGTTATCATTCGACATGCTTTAAGCATACAACTTATTTGGCCTTTATGCATAATCATGACATATATGATTTCTCCAATTGCAGCAGCATATGGAATACAATCATGTTATCTAGGTCAAAAACATTTGCACTAGGATTTTGATCAAAATCATGTCATGTGGTTTTTGACAAGACAAATCTCTCAAAGTCCTTTATCTTAAGCTTTTTAAGAACCTTGACAATTAATGAAAATTTACTTAATCCTTTAAGTTGCCATGATCTATTTATACACCTCATCCTAGGGTATGCAACTGCATGATGGATAACACACGGTATTGGGGAACAAATTATACTACTATTGGGAAATGTCTCCATGATCCAAATCAACAAAATCAAGATGCGAAACAAGTAAATAACTTAAGAAAGTTATAATACTTGTTACTTAAAAACATTTTGAAAACAATGGACATACCTTTAATGCATAGACAAATCCCTACATAGTATATGTGTGTCTACTACCAATTCTTGGCGCTTTGTGGTTTAAATGCTCTTTAATCTTGTCAATCACAGTACGCAACTATTCATAAGTGAAATCCCATGACTCTACCCCATAGGTACCTATGTCAACAGTTACACTTAATAAGTATATGTATGATTTGATATAATGTGTGTAAAAAATTGTATAGCTATTAAACTTGTTTAAATTAGAGATGAGTGTCATACGTTCATTAGTAACGGACCGTCGAGGGTATTTCCCCAAAAATCCTTACTCTAGCATAAACAAAATAGAGCCTCTCACAACGTCTGCATCACTTAATTGATGAAGTAAGTTATTGAACACATGGAAAAGGTCAGCCACTCTCACCGATCATGAAAGCGATACAAATGGGAACACACGTTGTCTAAACTCTCCAAAATCATATATGGGTGGAAATACTCCATGAACCGCAAGCCGGTGGCCAAACATAATGCCTTCCTATCAAACCAAACCCGATAATCGCCAACCGAAAATAGAAGCTCTTGTAGGTCAACTAGATCAAAAGTAGTAAATTATTTGCTCATAAGATAGTGATAGAGCAAAGGGTGACATTGTACACCCATAAACATATTTACATAATCACTAAAACATGATTGCTTAAACAAGACCCCATAAATTGTTTATTTATTTAAACAACCATTATTTCGCACCCAAGCTCAGACCTGCAGGTTGCCTAAACAACACCCCATAAATTGTTTGTCTAAACTCTCCAAAATCAGAACTGGGTGGATATACTCCGTGAACCGCAAGCCGGTGGCCAAACATAATGCCTTCCTATCAAACCAAACCCGATAATCGCCAACCGAAAATAGAAGCTCTTGTAGGTCAACTGGATCAAAAGTAGTAAATTATTTGCTCATAAGATAGTGACAGAGCAAAGTGTGACATTGTACACCCATCGACATATTCACATAATCACTAAAACATGATTGCCTAAACAAGACCCCATAAATTGTTTGGTTATTTAAACAAGCCATTATTTCGTGCCCAAGCTCAGACCTGCAGGTTGTAGAAACAACCTTTGTATGTTCTGTCGTGCTACAATAAAAAGAAAAATTAATTAGACATTTTTGCATGTATATTCCAAAGGAAATTATTGAATACTAAATTTCGGAACAATTTTGGACCAAAATTCCAGAACACAACTCCAGAGCAACAATTTGGAACGTAGTTCCATATAAAATTTCGGAACAAATTTCAGAATTTTCATCGTATTCTGGAGGACTTCTTATTATTCCAGGCATGTTTTTTAGATTATGGACTAGTTCCAGACTATTGAAAATGATGTTTTTTGTGAGACTTTTTGATGTAACATACATATATTCCTACATATAAATTTAATATTGTCTTTAAATTAATAAAATTCAAAGGAAAACTAATACTACCTATGTGAATGCATAAATTATACATGTTTTAATGTATAATTTAAAATAAAAGCATATAATTTATAAACATAATGAAAACTTACATATAAAAAATGCATCTCATCACTGCTATAAGAAAATATTTTCAGTTTTAGTGGTGTCCGAAATATTCTATAGAATAATTCAAAATAACAGAGTTTAAAATGAAGGGAAATCTAATGGGTTAAATTATATTTATAGGCGGGACCACATTTCCGGGTCGGATACGTTACCCATAAATGCACTCAATACAAAATCGGATCCGAAATGACCAATTTCGGATCAAGTGCTCATTTTAAAATAAAAATAAAAAGGTTATTATTATTAAAATAAGATTAAAAAGTGGTTAGTTTACTCAAAATTTCTATTTTTTTTTATTAAACCTTATTGATAATATCAATAAGAAATTAAATGAAAAACAAATAAACAATATTAAAAAAAGGTTATATCAGTCATTTCGGGTGTGATAAAGACTAGTAACAAAAATAAACGAATTGTCCCAGTTTAAAAAAAAATTAAGGTTCAAAGATGCAATTTACCCTAAAACACAGGGACTATTCGTGGAACTTACTCTATACCAACACCAAAAGTGTAGACTCGAATGAAAGTTATCAATTTTAAAAGAATAAATACAAATTAGAACTTTACCTAAAGATTAACCGAACTTAAACTCATCAACCTTTCCCTGTCTCCTTCATTTCTCTCTCGCTGATCTACATACTTTCTCTCACATACACACACTCTCTCTCTCTTTCTAAAAATGGAAGAAGATGATTCTGACAAGATGGACAGAAAAAGCAAACGAAAGATTGATCACATAATCGACTTGGATAAAGTAGACTCTTCCACGAAAAAAATTTCTCAACGCAATCGAAATACTGTTCATCAGGGTTCATCTTCTTCCGTTCTTGAAAATCAATCTGCGCCGGCAGATTTACCTGAAAATACCAATGTTTCAATCTCAACGACGGTGGCGGAGGCCGGCGTTTGGCCGCCACCCCAACCCCAAGTGGAAGAATTAGGGACGTCGTCGTACTCCGATCGGGGGTCCGGTGCTCCCGCATTAGGCGGCCTGAACAGAACAGTGGCCTTGCTACCACCCCACTTCCTTGGAAAGGTGTCGTCATCCCCAAATCAAGAGCCCCGGAACCTTCACAAATGCGTATTCTGCTCCACGATGTCGTACAACTTCTGGTGGTTGCATCAACATCAAATGAGCCATGTCGATGGCGTTGATCAGAGTGAACAAAATCAAAACCCTACACAGAGATCAACTACCAACCCCACACAGTACAACAACCCCAGCGCTAGGTACAATACACCTATGAATATGAACACAACATTGACGTCGCCCTACTTTAGTCAACGTGAATTAGGGTTTTGGTTTGACTCTAGCCAGATACAAGTACCACAAACCGGGTTCCAAAGCCAGATCAATAGTAATTTCAATCTCCGACCAATCTACGGCGGAGGAGGGTGTAGCAGAACGGAAGGATTTCACGAAGTTACCGACGTTCACAATTTTTCTGGCATTCAAGATCTCGGTGGCCGGAGTACTTACTGGCGTCTAGCTACAGCTACTTCATCTCTGTCACTTTCTGAAACAAGAGAAGAAGAAATAAACGATGGCAGCATTGATCTTTTGTCGGGGGTAGGGACGAGTAATAGTTTGGAAAACCGTGAACGTGATGGTGATGAAGATCAAGATCATGACATGAATGAAGAAGAAGATGGCGCTCTAATTGATCTTTCACTACAGATTGGACGGAAACCACCCAATTGAAGAATCAAGTATGAATGCATATCGTGTTGTGTTTTTCTCTTATGTCGATGATAGATGTAAATGATTCCAGTATATGTTGTTGTCCAGGAGATTGATTTAGTTTACCCTTATAATTGGAATGAGTTGTTTGGATATGCTTGTCCTATTATTACAAAGATTTCGGAATAACATCAAGATCCGATATTTGTTTGTGATTTCAATATGCAAAGAATTAATGAAGCATCTACAATGAAATGTGATTTCAAGAATTTAGAAGATGATTATTGTTAAAACGTGACTTGCGAATTAACAAACTAAACGGTTATTCACCGGATTGAGAAAAGTAAAGAAACTTGAAACCCAATATATCGACTGATAGTTAGTGTTTCAACTATTTTTAAGCTCGTGAATAAAAATATTCTCTCATTTTTTGTGGATGTAAGTCACATCTGATCAACATTAAATAATGTTTGGTATGTGCGATTTATTCATGTTTATACATTATACTTATTTTCTTGAAAATTAGCATATATTTGGTTTTTTCAATAAGTTGATTGAGTAATTGAGTTTCAAGAGTTTAGAAGACTATTTATAGTGTGATCATCGGTTTTTTCAATAAATGGTTCTTGTATCCAAAGAAGAAGCTAGATCAACTTATATAGATGCTTAGTTAAAAGAAGATATACGTATGGCCTTTGATATATGTTAACTATTAAGATTACTTATTACAGAAAAAAGATCTCAGTGACGATGTAATTGAGTTTCATTACTAACAATATATTACATTCGCACACCTATTTATAGGTACTGAAGTTATTAACAAACTAACATTTTAACAAAACTAACTAACTAATTGACTACGTGGCTACCCTTTGTATAACGGTGGATAATTAGTTGAAAAGTGTGTTAATTAGACTGTTAGTACATATTATTACATAGAACAGAATATATAAAAAGTAAAAATTAACACACTTCTTTTAAAAACGACGGCACATATTAAAAACATTTAAAAACACGTACGTAACTTCAAAATTTTCAGAATTATTTAGAAAATATAATATTTGTTATAATTTGTATATATATAGATCAAAACAAAAGAAAAACTTTTTTTGGACCAAACTTTTGTGAATTAAACACATGGACAAAAACGAAAACATGTGGTTTACTCCACTATATATACTACTATGAATAACATAAATTAATTAAATTTAAAACTAAAAATAAATAAACAATCTCATATATTTTATGGTATTACTCTTAAATTTGACGAATACCAAAACTGTAATTTACTCCAAAAATAATCCAATAGAATGCTGCTGATTCTAATCACTATATATATAGCAATAGTCTCTCTCTCTCTCTCTCTCTCTCTCTCTCTCTCTCTAAAAATGGAAGGAGGGGATTCTGAGAGGATGGACAGAAAAGGCAAACGAAAGATTGAGCACATAATCTTCTTGGATAAAGGAGAGTCTTACACGAAGAACAATTCTCAACACAATCGAAATATTGTTCATGAGGGACGACGACGTTCATCTTCTTCACTTCAAGAAAATGAATCTGCTCCGGTGGCTAATGCTAGGAATGTTTCCATCTCAACGGCAACGGCGGCGACCACCACCATTCGGAGATTCAATGATGACCGAAGGCAAAGACCCATCCAATTCAGAAACCACGGCCCAAGAACGTTTTCCAACTCCAGTACTACTACTGCGTTGGGTGGCCAAGAAACTGTAGTGGCGGAGGGCGGCGTTTTGCCACCACCTCAACCGGAAAAAGGAACGACGTCGTCATCCCGAAATCAGAGGACATTTGAACCTAATTACCTATGTAAAAACTGCTCAAGACCTTTCTCCAATGTATGTGTGCTTCTTCGCCATGAACCCAATTTTGACATTAACGTTGGGATTCAGAGCAGATCAAGAACTGCTACTCCTCCTACACAGAACAACAACTTTAGCGCAAGATTGACGTCACCTCAATTAGGGTTTGACTCCAGCCATGCATCTGGAATACCACATCCGATTCAGTTCAAAAGCTATACTCGTGAATTGAACGAAATTGGGTTTGAAGACATTGCCGGCCGGAATACACGCCGCCGGCGTCTGAATACAAATCTATCTCTGTCGAATACTGAATTAATAAACGGCGATGGCAGCATTGATCTTTTGTCACGGGTGGGGAGGAGTAATACTGTGGAAAACCACGATCATGATCATGATCGTGATCGTAACAATGAAGAAAGTGATGAGATCATTGATCTTTTGTCGAGGGTTGGATTGAATCCATCCGGATGAAGAATGTACGTATAATCAAGTTTCTGTTTATCTGTTAGCTAGATAGATGATCGATGATGATATGTGAGTAAAGGTATAGTACGTATACATTGTTTTCATTGAGACTGATTTGATTTTACCTTTTTTTTTTTTTTTTTTTTGGCTATTTGGATAATTGCATTGAGTTGTTTGATCGATTATGATTGGTTTTAGAGTTGTTTGTTCTGTCATTACAAAAAGAAAATCGTAATTGCATCGTGATGTTAATTTGTTTGATAAAAAAATTATTTGTTTTGTGATTTGCAGAGGGAGCATTAACGAATTTTTACTATATAATTAATGTCATGGTTCAACAAACGAAATTGCTTACAAAAATTTCTCACATGACATATGACTTACATCTTATATCATATTTGCACTATTATCACTAATTTCTCAGACTTCCAAATATTTAAACGATCGCAATTAATATAAAATATAGTATATATGTACTCGTTCATTTTAAATGAACTAATAGAAAAAAAAAAAGTAAAAACATAGAAAAAGATACTAGCACCTGTGTGATAAATTTAGTCAACAAATGACTTGATCAACTTCGGATCCCTCGCATGCTTATTCCTTTTTTTTCGTTACAATTTTGGCAAGGAAGATCAACTAGTTCATAAAAAAGAGTTAATAGAGAGGATTTTTACAATGTTTGTATTCAAAATCACTAGCAATTAGAAACCAGTACAGTTAATTTGTAACTAAAAGTTATCATGTCTAAATGATTGAAAAAGTTCGTACACAATTTCCTAGAAAAAACATATTGCAACTTCAACTAAACGTTCAAAATGAAAATCATAATAATATAAAAGCAAGCACAAAATATCAGGAGGGGTGGAAATCCGAAACTACAAATGTCGTTGTTTAGACAATCATGTTGCTGAGTTTTGTATGCTTTGGATATCTTTTTGTTATTTTTAGGGTAAAACTTGAAAGAAAAAAGTTTAATAATTTAGTTGAAAGGTTAGTCTAAATAAACAACCCGAATGTGTGATCAATAACTATAATCCAATCTCCTGCACTTTCACTTTGTCACCCGCTGGTATCTTCACAATGGAGGCAACAAGACAACATATTGATTCCAAACTCATCGTAAGAGGTAATGCCTCAATAATCTGGTGCAAAATAGTTCCCATAAAGCTATCGTGCTTCATTTGGAAGGCTAGTCTTGGTAGAATACTGGTGGCTATTACTCTACAAGAGAGGGGTATCCACACTTCTTCCCTCTTGTGTGATCTTTGTGGTGTAGTAGATGAGACCCCGTACCACATCCTTACAGGTTGTCATATGGTGATTAAAGCCCGTGACTGGATATTCGAGTGGTGTGGTCTCCATCTTAGACAATTCGAATGTGTGAAGGAGCTTCCAGACTTTGCAGCTACATGGGGGGAAATTGTCCAAGGAAACGATAAACAGTTATTTCCATTCTCTACAGTTTTCTACGGTGCGTCTCGAGATCTATGAACAACAAGATTTCAATAACATATCGTCTTCTCCTTCAAAGATTGTTGATGATGTTATGTCATTAGCTTTTGAGTGGTACAAACATGAAGGTAAAAGACTTTCTTGTAATTGGTCATATTGGAAAATATATCTTCTTTTGTGTTGATCCACTTTGTAACTTTTCTTTTACCTTTGCTTAGTTACTTGCTAAGCTTGGGTATTTTATTTTACAATATATTTGTTGTTTCTAAAAAAACTAATTATAAGTTTGTTAATTTGCCAAACATAAAAACAAGATCGGGGAAATAAGTAAACCTATGAAGATTGCTCAAGAAAGGCAAAAATAATACACCAACAAAAAACGAAAAGTGAACTAAATTGGAAGATATGACGATGCTTAAGTTTTCCCCGGTCATTATTCCATTTGGAAAGCTAGGAAGTTTAGTCCAATGTATTTTGGACCTTTCAAAGTATTGGAAAAGGTCACAAGCTTGGATAGTATATCAACCATATAAAACTACGTGATATCTGTCTTGAGTTATCGTGAATATCATATCATTTTGGCTCAGGACTAATCGATGCTTTAGCTACAGTACTTCTCTATACTGAAAAACTATTAGTTAAATGTATGGTCTTCCATAGATATAATGAGATTTATATTTTTTTTATAAACTTTTCTTTTTTTACAAGCAAATATTTTTAAACATTTAAAATACATTTTTTATAAAATCTTTTATAATATTGAATATTGTTTGTAAAATTCGTTTGTCAACTTTTAAAAAGACCCTAGAGACCACTTCTTTTTGCCCTTGTGTTGCATCCGCTCTTGCATAATGTTGTAGACAATTGCAAAGTTCTTCTCCATGCATGATACCTTGATGATGACACTTATTGGAGATTTGGAAGAGGTGAAAAAAACGTTGAACATCATTAAGGTGATTGACCAGAAATTGGGCATTCAATTGAATATCAAGAAAACTGATCTCTTTTAATGGCCAAAAATTGGGCCTTCAGTTGAATATCAAGAAAACCAAAGCCTTGGACATCATTAAGCTGCGTTAGGGGCTATTCCCGGTTAGCATTGGGAGGCCATCATTGGGGGTGAAACTTCTTGGAGGAGCTGTTAGTAGATATGCTAGTTTTATTAGCAGCTTAGCCATAAAGAGAGCTGAAAATGCTGTGAATTTAATGCGCCTTCTTCTACAATTGTCTGACCTCTAGAGTGAGCTCCATCTGCTTCAGTCTTGTATAAGTATTGCT